AATTGGAATACTTGAACCGATCCAAATTTCTTCCTCGGGTAATGTTAATGAGGCAATAAAAAATTTGAATGATAAAATTTTTAGTTTTTTAGGAGGTGAGAAATTTGATAAAAACTGTGATGGCAAGATTAATTATTCTGAATGAAAGTTAATGTTAAAAGAAAAAACAAGAAGTCAACTTACTGAGGAATTAAGAAAGCATTGGGAAAATAATGAAAGTGAAAAAAAAGGGAAAAAAAATGAATTGGAAGATACCGTAGAAATAATGAGATTATTAGAAGAAGAAATAATTAAATATCGCCAATGCCACCATCATTGGGCAAATGAAAAAGGTGATGAAGTGGATGATAAATGTTCTAATGTTCAACCAGAAGACATTGAGAAAAAAGCTCTTTCTGAACTCTCTTCCAGTAACAAGAATTGACGACAATTGTTCAGAAAAAATCAGTTCTGGGGGAAAAAGAGTGAAAGTAGTGAAAAGGAATTACAAGAATGATTTGCTGTTTTCCCTGATTTATATGATAAGGAAAGAGACTTTATCTATTGGATAAAAGAAGAAAAAAGTAAAGAGATAGAAAACTTTGCTGACCCGCAGTGAGTAAAAGAAAGAATTACTACTGGAGAACTAAATTTAAATGAGTTAAGGCAAGCGTATCAATGATGACAGGAAGAAAAAGATGACATTAAAGTTCAAATTGAACAACCTCACAAATAGTAAGGAATAATTATGAAAAGTATCAGATATTTTACAAAAAAAAAAAAAAAAGAACTAGCACTAATTACTTAGTTAAAAAGTTATAAGATTATGGCATACTGTCAAGGATGTGGAGGAACAGGAGCTTATCCTAGAAATTATGAATCACCTAATGGTAGTAAAGCAACTTTTAATCATTGTAACTCTTGTTACAGAGATGTTGCCAGATACTTTCAGAATGAATGAAGTGATTTCCGGAAAAGAGTAGAAGAAGAAAAGGAAAAAGCCAAAAAGAAAGAGGAAGAGAAAGCCAAGGCAGAACAAGAGAAAAAAATTAATGAGTGAAAAGCATCTCATTGTGCTAAATGTGGCAAATATTCTAATGTTTATCATTATATTTATGACAAAGACACCGATAAACTAACTCAAAGTTTTGACAATGCTTCTAATCCTAATAAGCAGTGAGTATTTTGCACTGAAAGCCATTTTCGAGAATGGGAGAAAGAACAGAAATGTATGTGTCGGAAATGTGGTAAAAAAGGATTTGGTGGTTATATCTACAAAAAAGGTAACGAAGGCAACTTTTACGAAAGATTTTGTTCCAGTAAGTGTTATCAATACTACTACGCTGAAGATTGCGATAAGTGTGGCTGTAAAGCTACCGGCAAATCTTACTATCGCGATACGACAAATTGAACTGGCACTTTATGCGGTAATTGTTACGAATTAAAAGAATTAGAAGAACAGTTAGCCAAATTAAATGTTCCAACTATCTGTCAAGAATGTAAAAAGTCGGGTACCGCAGCTGAAATGGATTGGCACAATCCTAATGTCAATGATGGTAAAAAGTTTTGTTCGAAAAGTTGTTGTTTAAGTCACTATGCGGAAAAATGCGACACTTGTAGTAAAAAAATAGGAACTGGTGAAAAAAGTTATTATCAAGATGCTAAGAGTAAAAGTGGAACCTTATGTGCCAGTTGCTGACAAACTAAGAAAAATAAAACCAATTCCTCACCAACTAACACTGAGGAAGAAACCAAAGAAAAACCGGTAAGTTCTAATTCTTCTGCTAATAATCGGAATGATTCTCCTAATCAGCCATCACCCACTAATAATTCTCCCTTTTCTTTTAATCCTCCATCAGAGGGAACAAATTCAAACGGAACAAGTTATCTCGATTGTCCTTTCTGCCAAAAAAGAGTTTATTCGGAAGAAGAATGCAACCAACATCTCCAAGATAGTCTAGATTGTCAGAAAAAGCAAGAAATTATGAAACCTATTGCGGAAAAAATAGAAAATAATGAAAGTATTCTCGATGTTAAGGTTGATGATCTCGGTTTAAATCAAGAAATGACCATAACTTTAAAAGCAGTTCAGCGAATTCAACGGGGAGAAAAAGTTAATATTGACCAACTAAATATTTCTGAGGAGGCCAAAAAACAATTACGCAATATTAAGAGTTTAAAGGATTATCGAAGGGAAGAATCAAATTCTGACCCAAAAGTTGAGAAGAACAAACCCTTTTTCCACCAACCCTGAGTAATTATTGGTGTTATTATTATCTTATTAGTTACACTAATAATTGTAATTAGAAACAGTAAGGTAAAAAATAAAAGAAAATTAAAATAGAATATGGGAGAAGAAATTTTAGGACTTGCTGTCCTCATTTATTTAGCCTCTTTTATCACTTGAATATTTCAATTAGTTCGTTTATCAAGTAGAAAAAGTAAAGTGGCCTTTTGGTTAATTCTTATCTTTGGACTAGTATTGCCTTTTCAACCTTTGATAACCTTTATTAGTCTTTTTCTCGGTCGGGGTGAAGAGGAGAAAGAAAAAGATAAAGAATTTTGATGTGGTATTTGTCAAATTAAGTGCAGTAATGAATTGTTTGGTGTTGAAACACTTAAAGAAGGCAAAATCTGTCGTTTTTGTTTAATAGAAAAGCGAAAGAAAAAAGATTAAAATATGGTTTTGTTGCTAACATCCTCCATTCCTCATTTAACAAATCAGTCCAGCGGAATACTTAATTCCCAACCATCGCTCAAAATAATTAATGACTAATCGGAAGAGTAATGGTCGAAAGTTTTTGACTGAATGATTCCCTATTAGGAAAATCTAAGATAATTCGCTCATATAAAGCAATTGGTTTTACTTCTTTAACTTCTTTTTTTAACTTGATAATGCCAATATTAGCTAATACTTGGCAATCCCGTCAAACATTTGCGGCATCCTTGCCTAAAATTTCGGCTAATTGGTTAATATTTTGGGGTTTATTTTCACTAATCGCATAAAAGATTTCCAAGCGGGGTTCAGTCATTATTTTATAAGCTGTTTCGATGCTATCAACCACCATTAAGTTTTTGGGCTGAATATTAGGTTTGTCTGTATCCACTGCTTCTCAAAATCCTTTAAACATTGACTGAGGGGAGTTGGTCGGATCATATTGGATAATAAAAGTTTTGTTGTTTTTAGAATTAGTCATAATGTCTTACAATTTTATATTTAGTCAATCCGATGACAATTTTTAATTCAGAGATGGTCAATCGTGTGGTCTTTTAGTCAAAAAAAGAAACGATATTTCTTATCCTGATAAGTAGTTTCAAAACGAAAAACCTCCCGACCTCATAATAAATAACTGTCCGGTAAAGGCTTTAATCTCTTTCGTCCATTGAGTTTATTTTGTAAAATATCCAAGATTAATTCCTTAGTAATTATTTCCCGACCTTTCTTTTTTCAAGGATGGTCAGTAATGGTTATTTTGGTGATAGTTCATTTTTTAAAAATAAAGGGTGATAATAAAGAGTAAGTTCAACGTTGTTCATCATCAATTAACTCCTCGCTTTCAAATTTAAACAACTCGGACATGTGCTGATTTTGGTTTTGTTTGCCGGATGGTGACTTGAATTTGGGTCGGTGAGAACAATTTATTAGCGTAAGTTATTAGACTATCCAAGGTAAAGTTTTCAATTCAACAGAATAAGATTTGCAGAGTTTCATCTTTACTAAGTCCAATTCTTTGGGCTAATATTTCATCACTAAGTTTATTATCCTCTTGGTAACCTAATATTTTCTCACAGAGTTCATATTTAGCCTTTTCTAAACTAGTAGCATTTTCCGGTAAATCTTTCGCTACTCAGGGATAATCCGAATTAGGGTCTTCAATATGCTTGACAAACTCACCAAAACTTTGATATTTTTGATTATTTTTTTTCATAATTTTTATTTTTAATTCTCTTAATTACATTTTAACAATTCATTCGTGATTTATCAAATACTTCAGAATATTTACTTGGGGTTGTCCTTTCATTATCCTTGCGAACCATCTTCATCATTTTGCAGGAATTCGACATGAATTTTTAATAACTCATCAGCAATATCTTTTTGTCGAGTTTCAATCTCATTTCTTCGTCTTTGGGCTTCGATTACTGTTTCTAAATTAGCATGTTCCTTGATTAGTGCTTCATTTTCTTTGATTAGATTTTTTTTCTTTTGTAAGAATTCTTGATATTTAGTGTTATTCATAGTATTTTAAATTTCTTGGGTTTGGTTTCTCTTTATACTTTCTCTTTCTATATAGACTAACCTTTGGATAGAACCTTATAAGAAAAAGAGAATTAAAAATAAGAGAAAGAAAAAGGGGATAAAGAGAGTTATGTTATTTATTATTACTTATTTATAAGTAAAGGGATTTTTGAGTGAAAAAAATGACTACTCTTCTATCTCTAATCACTAAAATAATTAATATGGGTATATTTCGCCTATATATTTTTATCATTTGGCAAATCAATAGTTAGGACTTGGCGGTATCAGTCTACTTCCACTTACTAAATTTCTTTTGCGGGAGTTTAGATTTACAGTGGGGTTCACTGGGGTATTACTCAGAGAGTTTTAGCCCTCGCTTATTGCTCTTATTTGGCAAAAATAGATAAGTTTGCAGTTTTCAACTGCTAGCAACCTAACTATTGTATTTCCCCAATTAGATTAGTTTTTTTTGCTAAACTAATTGTGAGAAGCATGAAATAACTTCCCAAAAAGGTTAAGGAATTGATTTCCGATTGTAGTCGGATTTCTTTTCCTTAATTTATTTTATATAGTTTTATTACTTACATACTAAGTTTTAAATCTAATATTACTAAAAAACTAAAATTCATCTCAGGAACATTCTAAAGACGGAATTATCGGAACTTTCTTAGTTCAAGCGGAAAACAATTAGTTCAAAAAACCTTATCTCTGCAAAGAGTAATAAAAATAACTATCTAATTAAAATTTCTTTAAAACTTGGCAATTCTTTGGGATATTTCTTTTTTCAACGAAGATAAGTAAGATAAACGCTATTATATTTACTATGTGGATTAGGCAAGGCGTGGTTAATTTTCTTTTTAATATAAAATTCCCGCAAAACTTCTAATAATTTTTGCTTTTTTAATTCTTCAATTTGTTTCTTGTGTTCTAATATTTTTTCATTAATAGTTTTTTTTTCACTGGTTTTATCCATATACAATTAATTTTTCTTGTTAAAGAAATTTCCTTTATTGTAAACTAGCAATCCGTTTGACTAATTCGGTCATGCTTTTATCATCTTTTCTATCCATCAGGTTAATATTGACCTTTAATCCTTAATATTCTGAGTTTTTGACCTTTTTCTTTTTACTCACCTCCAAAAGAATATACTACTAATTATGGAGAAAATTAGGAATAGTATTATGAGAGTTGGTGGAATATTAGTATTATCCTTGTTATCATTTTTAATAGGAATAATTAACTCTTGTCCGCTAGTCCCATAAACTTTAATGCTTTTGCTACTACACTCCTTACATCTACTAGGGATTTTATTTTTAGTGCTATATTCTTTCTTACAATCCTTACAAATTACGGCATATTTATGACCGGCTAATGGTTTAGGAACGGGAACATTAATGGGCTTCGGGTTAGTCGGTATTTGGCCATTCTTAATCATCTCTTGAAATTTTTTAACTTTTTCTTTGTCTTCGGAGTCTAAGTCCTCTTTATCTAAATCTACTTCCTCGCCATTCTTTAGCCGAGCTAAAAGAACTAATTCTTTTTTCTTGTTAGAATTAATATCTGCCTTGCTAATATCAACTTCTTCTCCTTTTAATATTTTTTCGGCTATTGATAAACATTTATTTACCTCGCTGTCACAACTAAAACATCACTTTTCGTTAGGGTTTTGAGGGCTATAATTAACAATTTTTCCAGAATCAATATATTTCTTACACTCACAACATTTAAACCCAACATTGCTAATTTCCTGAGAAAAAGAAGTGTTATTAGGTGGAGAGGAAGGAGGAGTATTATTTTGGATACGTTTTATCGCACAACTTTGGCATATTAAGTTACCAGTTCTACTTTCATCTTTATAATATCCTTTTTCATTAGAGATGTCTTTGGAACAATCATCACATCGTTGAGGCTGTTTATTATTAAAGTCTTGGATAATAAGTTCCGTGACGCAACTTTTACAATAAGGAGATTGGCCTTTGTGTTGATAAGTGCTTTCGGTTAAGGGAATGAACTTTTGACATTTTAAGCAAGTTCATTCTTTATTTATTTTTTTAGCATCATCATTAAGTTTTTGATTAATGTTCTTTTTCAACTGTTCTTCCAAGTCATCTAGTTCTTTCT